TTGGTCTTGGGTATATATTTATTGATCAAATGGGTCACTTTACAGATTATGATATTCAGTGTAGTGTCTGCATTATTGTGCCTTAATGATTCAGGCCAGTGGATACCCCTCATCTCTTCCCTCATCCCGTTGTAATTTACCTTGTAATATTTGCGCCTTGGCCTGGCCTTATCTTGAACTAGGTAAGTTAAATCTGAATGACAACACTATATGGTGACTGGTGCCAACTGGGGCAAGGTGTACCAGTTTGGCCACCATACCCTCACTAGTGTGATCCTGAGGGGGCAAGGCTTGTCCCCCTGCTTTTGTCCCAGCCTCCTCACATCCTGAAGGGTTGATGGCATCTTCAGAACCTCTGTACAAATATTCTTAAACTGCATCTTATCGTGTGTTATCTTACTCTCAGTTCCCTCCGCCTGACTCTCAGGGACTCCAAAAACTATTACATTGTTCCTGCGCTGAAAACGTTCCCGTTGTTCCTCCTCTCCCCTAACAGTAGGTCTTAATTTTCAATTTTCTTTGACACACTTCTTCAGAATCCCTAGCTGATGTAGAACCTGTTCTGACCCTGCATTACTCTCCGCCACCTCCCGTGACCCTGTTAATACCTCCGCATAACTCCTCTTAGCATCCACCTCCATTCTGTCGGATACTTCCTCAGTCTTAGCAAGGATCTCTTTCCCAACTTGTTCTAGTTTGGCAACCAGCAAGGCTCCAGCTTCATCTATTTTTGTCCCTAGAGAACTCGTTCCCCTATGGCTTGCAATCACCTCATTTACCTTGACTACGCAGTCAGGGCAATACCAGCAACAGCCGTCATGCTTTACGGCAGTTTGCATCATCCTAAACGTTGCATTAGTCAGGCCTGTATCCTCCATATCCGACGTCCCCTGCAGTAATCACATATCATACTCATGGTTGTTGTGGAGGGGGGGTGCAGACTGTGTATAGATCTACACCTATTTAAAAATAAAGAGAAAAAAACAGTACTTAGCTGCCCTCTGCAAGTTTTAACCTCCACTGTTGCCTTCTGTTTTTTTTTGTTTTTTTTCAGTTCACTTCGGCGTTTGTCGGTATTTATGTGCCATCTCTATGTACACTGCATTTTTATATGAATAAAGGATTTTATACACCCACTCAGTCCTTTAGAAACAGAAAAATAAAATAAAACTTTCTTTGGGGCAGTAATAGAATGCCTTAAAGGATAGCCAAGCTTGTTTTACACTTTTATACTCTTCACCACCGATCGGCTCGTTGGCCGCTTGGGCGATCGGTCATGTCTCTGTTACACACTGTTGGCAAGTACTGGGCATGCACCGGCTCCTGAATGTACCTGAACCCGCTGCAGTGTTGGTCAAGTCTTGTCTTGAAAGAGTTCACACTCAGTGCCGTCACAACACTCTGGTAGGTTGTTCCAAGAGTTCACAACTCTCACTCCGAAAAATTTGCCCTCACAGTTTTCTGGACTTGCGGCTTCTTCAATCTTAAGCTGTGACCCTTTGTGGGGCGAGCATCCGCCAGCTCCAAGTAAGGACACTCGACTGAGTAGTGCCCCTTGAGATGCTTATACACCTCAAATAGGGCCCAATACACCGCATTGTGGTACCCCGCTTGTGACAGGTACGGATGATTATTTCGTGACCATTAATCACCACACACTGCTTGCAGTCATGTAGAAAGTCTTCTATCCACGCTAGGACATTTCCCCAATTTCCGTACCCTTACAGTTTGATTTTCAGCTTTTCGTGGGGTACTCTGTCGAAAGCCTGGGCAAAATCTAGGTAAATATTGTCGATATTACCACCCCGTTCCAGAATATGGGTCCAAATATCCAATACCTTGAGCAATTGTGTTAAGCAGGAGCGCCCCGGCATAAAACCGTGTTGGCAATCCTTTACAAGGGTGTTTCGTAGTACATGTTCCATCGCGGCATCTCTGATAATACTCTCAAGTACTTTACATATTATGCCGGTCAGGCTCACTGGTCTATAGTTGTTCGCGGAGTGATGATAGCCCTTCTTGAAGATAGGACTCGCATAAGCCACTTTCCATTCACTGGGGACCTTTTGTTCATCCAGGCATTTACAAAACAGGATCTTCAGGGGCTCGGCAAGCTTGTTGCACAACTCTCTTAGCACTCTAGGATGTACCACATCAGGGCCGGGACTCTTATGGACCTTTAGCTTTGACTGTTTATTTCTAATACCCTCTCCTGTGAACACAATGTGGGTCAGTGCTGTGTCAAACCGTCTGTCCTCAAATTGCATCTTCTTTGTGTAAGAGGATGCACCTGGGGCGTACCAACGGTAAGGAGGCGTATCATATGTTCCAATGGGATGAAGAAACTGCACTAGTCGATACTGAATATGAGAAGGACCTAGGTGTGTATGTTGACAATGAGCTGAAGTTCTCGGGCCATTGCGAAAAGAAGGCAAATCAGGCAAATAAATTATTGGGTCTTATAAGAAGGTCGTTCAGATATCTAGATGGTCCGTCCCTCGTAACGATCTTCAAAAGTGAAGTGCTTCCCCATCTGGAGTACTGTCACCCCGTGTGGTCCCCGAGATATGCTAGGGACTGTCAGTTGGTTGAAACTGTTCAAAGGAGGGCCACCAGACTGGTGCACCTCAACTACCCTGAGAGATTGGAGCGCCTGAACTTGCCTAGCTTATATACATTGATAAAATCACACAAGGAAAAGATAAACAATTAAAACAAATTAATAAAAGCTGATGCTACACCTCCAACAACTACAGTATTTGGCAATTTAGAGTATTTTTTTAAAATGGATACCGTATGTATTTTTGCAAGTCCCGAGGAAAAAAGTATATTTTATGGTTTCGAAATGGGGTTTGGTACCAGCGAAGGCAGCCCAGCCCAGGGAAAGGACGCCACTTTTGTTTACGTTACAAGAAGGCGTGCTAGCTGGGCCCAGCAACAGGTGTGCACCGAGTATTTTTTAGCTCTTTTAGGGTGTACCTGTATTTGATAGGTTGAGCATAATGAGTGTTATATGAAGAATGTGATGAATGCATGGAGGTAGTTTGTAAGCCAGAATAAGGCTAATAAAGGCATTGCTCTACAGACATTCATCCCCCGCCACCCCTGAATGAGTCAGTGCCGACTGCCGAGCGTTCACACCCATGTCATGCTGGTGGATTAAGCTTATATTTATGTACCGTTTAGTTCCTACTAATGTGTTCTGCCAATATGTGATTATGACAATGGTTGATGCTTGTTTTGTATGTACAATGTATAATGACTAGTTATGTCTGATCTAGGTCCCAGCCTTTCCTTCCTCAAGTGATTTCAAGAGTAAATAAAGGAGAGAAAATTACAAGTGTGTGTCCTTTTCCTGCTATGAGAACCCACTGCTCTGTTCTCGCTACACTCCGTGTTAATGCGGGGTATGCAATTGCTTGCATGAGTAAGTAGGGATTCACCCCTATAGAGCAAAGAGCAAGCAACACCCAGGCAGTAATTATTATAGCAGAAATCACCCAGGGAGGAGCACGGCACCACCACCTGCTGAGGGTTAACAGCGGTGGAGAGCTTGGACTAGTGAAGCGGTTATCTACGCAGAGGAGGACAGACCTAGAAGCCAAGCATGAGTTACCCACCAAGAGCGTTAAAATGGAAGCTGGGGTCTCACAGTCTGAGCAGAGGGGTGAGCCTACGCACAAAGAGGACAGTGTTGATCTTTTCCCTAAAGAGGTAGCCCAGGAGATGAAGCCGACTTTTTCAGGGACACCTGATAATTTATACCAAATTAATGTAGTCGAGTGGATAGCTGAGGCCAAGTGTAACATAAGTTTGATAGGAATGAATGTACTTCGCCAATGTCGAGAGGTTCTAGTGAAGGATTTTGGCCCCCAATATGTTAACTGTAGTATTATAAAAAAAAATACAGAGCTTTTTCTAAGTGTTTTCAAGAGATGAGAGCATTCACCGATGGCAGCACAAAAACCAAGTGGGGTTTGCCGCCTCTACAAGGTGGTTACAAACAAGAATCCCCACCAACTGTTGCTAGCCAGAAGTTTACCCCAAACTTGGTCTTGATTGAGCCATTGCAGGCAGGGGAAGGGTGGCTGCCTCACAACCTCCTCCTTATCTCTTCATACACTACCATTAGGTACAATAAGGGGGTTGCCATTGTGGCAAAAGTGGGTAATTCCTGTACATGGCTAAAGAGAAGCTGGCGTGTGGGAAAGGCCTGTTGGTCCGATCTGTGCCCTCAACAAGAAACAGCCGAGGTGAGCTCAAACAGTATTGAATGGGGGTCAGAATATCTAAGGCAAATAGGGCTGAAGATTGACCCCACTGAATTATTTCTTTGCCGTGCACTGTAGCTTTCAGGGATTTAACATAACCCCCCCCCCACCCCAAAGAAATGTACACAAAATGGTAGTCTTCCAAAACTTACCAGACAAAGTCCATCTCCAGTTTACATATTTTCCCAATATTCTGTCCTTAATAAATTTGGGGCATGGGATCTCCATGGAGGTTGTGTCTACTGATAAGCATCACAAGTACTATAGCCCTGTTTAGGATTGGCTGCTCCATTCATCTGACACCCCTTCAGAGGTAGCAAATGAACAAAGATTTATCAGTCTGTATTAAGGCTTCAGTAACTGTAGCCACCTCTCAATGACTTATTCACACCCAAATCAGACAGGTTTAATTTAATATTTGGTAGATTTGGACTTCATTCAGTTAACCTTTATCAATACTGTATTTGCATGAAGATATTGATTGATTGATTTATGAATTTTAGGCTCAAAGCCAAGCACTGGTGATAAAAGGCCATACAACGCTGCATGGTAATTTGTGGATACATTATCTCTAATATAAAAATGAACAAATCCTATTAAAGCAAATTGAAACCTGCTGATGTATTAAGACATTGAAACCTTTAAAATTTCATTTTCATCATTTATCCCATTTACATTGTAGTCACTTAAAATTTCAAAAAGTTTCATGAAAATAAAAAAATACATATGTATACTGTATATATAAATTTATCCTTTATTGTATATGCGTTAAGGTGCATCTGATAAAAAGAAATGTAGTGAGCTCATAGAGCAACTACTTCCAGAAACGGTCACACTGTTGTGTTTTAACTGTTCCCTTCATTTATGGTACAGTAACACACCACATCTCCTTTTGGAAACACCTTTCATATTGCTGCATTGCTGGTAACAGGTGGAAGCATTATAAATCCATCAATATATAAAGTCATGAAAATCATCAAATATAATTGCTCATTTTGTATTAAAAAATCTAGTCATAAATTAAGAAATGACTAAAAGGAGAACTAAAGATTAAAAAATAATAATAATATTAATATTAATAGCCATCAAAACTTCATGCCTAAGTTACCACCAACAGTTTAAAAGATTGTACAAGAGGACTTTGATTTTTGCGCAGTCCCAATAGCGCCACCAGCTTCTGCAGCTATCACAATAGCAACAATCTCCTCATTATCTGGGAAGCCACCACGCTCGAGCTTTGAGAAGACAACGGTGTCATTGACTGTCACCTCAAATGAAGCTGTAAGAAAAAAAAATAGAAAAGACAGTAAATTATTAACTTACACATTCAATACACTGACTTCCAATTAGCTTGACAAAGACATACAGGACATATAACACTTTATTAAAAAATGTAGCGAGTGAGTGAGTTAGTTAGAAATTCTAAACTGACTAAATTTATTTTCCTTAAATTTAAAACATAAGCCCTATGGTGTACTCAGTCAGTGGCTATGCCCTTTACACTCAAAGCTGGGCCTCTGAATCGTATACAGTATACTGTACTGTAAAGTTTACATGTACAGTCAGCAAAAAATTATTGTGCATCCCTGGGTGTGATGGCTCTCGCAACAAACACATGTAAAACTAATGTGCTGTTATTCCTTATATCATGTGTAGTAACAACAGAAAAATTATCAGAATACATGTATAACCCACAGCATTTAAACCAGATAATGTCAAAGCATTATATACTATACCATAGTACTATGTTTAAGCACCCACATACGGTAGGAATGGCAGGCACTCTAGGAATTGAGGCGCTGTATAGGAATTTTGCCTACTATGAGATACAACGAAATCGTGTAAATACTCATGATTATAACCACTGTCTGAGAAAGTGATGAGAAGTGGCATAATACAAGACATCAAACAGGAAATAAATATGAAACATCTGTAACGTAGGAAAGTTATACAATACTGTATTACGCATAGGTATAAGATGTTAACCGCTCTATTCGCTTCTTGTAACACATTGTGCACGCAGACACACTGAAACACCTTATGGTAAATACTATCTACAGAGTAACTGGCAACTCAGGAAGCCAGAGCTACCAACATCCCCTTTGACTCATGAGTGTTTTCAGAATTCTTGGTCCGGTGTGTCATACTGTAAGAACCCGTAAAGGTGCAGAATAATATGTATTTTGCCAACTGCACATGTGCAATCTGGATTATACTTAAACACTGAACTGTACTTTTACATTTAATAAAAATTTAAAAAAGGTAAGATATTACTTATAGTAATTACCTGTATTCCATGCCAGCATGCAAAATCAGGCTCACTCAAGCAAATACATTTTATTCATGGTGTAGGAAGGTCACACTGGTTTGAAGCCACAATATCAGTGATTAGGTAAATCTGACCTAATTAATAAAGTGCACTAATGTAGACACTAAGGAATGCCATGAGAGACATGACAATGCACTAGTAGCCCAGACAGATTATTTTACGTGGATTGATATTTATGAATATAGAGTACAGTATAGTCTCGATTTACGCGGCACCTTGCCAGACCGACAATTTTTATTTACGTGGTTCATTCCATCGTTTACGCGGGAAGCGGCACGGGCAGGGTGCGCACAAGGTCGCCCAGTCAACAAAACATTACCGAGTTCCTCACTCGCCACCCACCACAGCCAGCCCAAGTCAGTGATAGTGAGGATATGAACTTAATGAGGGGTTTCACAAAGAGGCCCTGCAAGCATCTGTGGTGGATAGTGATACAGGTGATACAGGTGAGGGCCAATAATCTGCCCTCTGCCTCGGAACCAACCCCAATCCCCGTGTACCCAGCCATCTACAATGTAAGTGTTAAAAAACCTAATATTATTGATATTTCTCTTAAATATTAATTGTGTGTGCATACCATCATAAAATTAAGATGTTATTTTTACTACAACGTACTATTGTGTCGGAAAAAGTGTAGTTTGGGGGTCGGCCCAGTCTCTATTTCAATTAATCCCATATGTTCTGTTATTTCGTTTACGCGTTTCTCGTTTTACACGGACCTCAACGAGTTCAATTGACCGCGTAAATGAAGACTATACTGTACTGTACTGTACAGTATTTTTTTTTTACAGTGGCTATTTTAACCCAAAATTTTTGGACAGTTCCCTTCACTAGTATGTTTATAGGGGATCATCAAATAAACATTAGGCAAATCGCTACACCGAGATATTTGTTTTAATAAAAAATGTAAGTTTGATTCCGTAGTATGTTTACTATTGCAAGTTTCCTTCTGTTAAATGTAAACAAACACAGGACTGCCACCCTGCACAAAACCTGACAAGCCCCTGTAAATGCACTAGTAAGGGACTGTACATTAATTTCATAACTAGCAATACAACTCTTGTTACAAGGAACTGACAAACTGGGTTTCCAATTTTTTTTTTAAAGATTCAATATATTTTACAGTACAGCACTCTGGTTTACAGTACAGTACACTTTTTCTGACTCACAATACGTGTGGCCACTGTCATGCAAGGGAACTTCAATTAAGATGACCACTTTTCCCAGGATCTCCCTTAACCACTTCACTAAAGGGAAAACTTTTGATACTATCTTATTTGGCTGATGCCAGACAATTTTATTGAGCTCAGAGGGGAGCTTATACACAAGGGGTTAGGAGAAAAGATCTAGATGAAATCTTTTCTCAATACCTGTACATACCACAATTGATATGTTTTCAATAGCCCATTATTTTTCCCCTGAAGCTTAATCTCTCATGAAACAGGAGTAAATATCACAAGAATCCAAACCATTAAAAGCTACAGACAGGAAGAGGGCAGGCTTGGGAATTTATCTGGAGCATAGTACAGGTAATGGAATCCACAGAGGAATGGAAGTGATGAGCTTGGAAAATTTTGGTTTATAACCAAGCAGTTCAAGATGTACAAAAACTACCATAAAACAATGGACATTTGAACACAAAGCAAAAATCAATTAGTTCAATGATAACCTTCTAATCAAGGTGTAACTTTACCAACAATAATATACTGTACGGCCCTGGACAGTGATTCCATGTCCGTTGTGTAAAAGACAAATTACGGTTTTGTCTGGCACTAATTTTCATTTCATTGAATACTTATATCTCATCAATCCTGATAGTTTTTGTTATCCTTTTATAGCAAGAATTTTTTGTACCATATATCCTACCACTGCAGATAGCCATGCAAATTATTTCATGCAGATTAAAGCTTTTCAACTACAGTACTGTAGTGGCAAAATTAAAGGTATAGTATAAACCAGGCGACGTTCCAGAACGTCAGACCAGCAGGCCCCGGGTGACGTTCCAGAACATCCGCCTATTCCTGCCCTTTTTTTATTATTATTATTTTTGGAAAAGTAAATTTTTCTCGATTTAACCCCGCAGGGGTACTGCCAGCAGCACTCTAACCCAGGGCTTAAGGACTAGTCAGGCTCACTAGTCTATAATTATTTGTGGAGAAACGATTGCTCTTCTTAGATAAAGGACTCGCATAAGCCATTTTTCAATCATTGGGGACCTTTTGCTCATCCAGGCATTTACAGAACAGGATATTCAGGGGCTCAGCAAGCTCGTTGCAACACTCTTTACACTCTTGAGATGCACCATGCCAGGGTCGGGACTCGCATAAACCTTTAGCTTTGACAATTTAATTCTTATACCCTCTTCTGAGAACACAGTGTGGGTCAGCGCTGTGTCAACCCAACTGTCCTCAAACATCGAGGAAAAAAACTGTTCAACGTCCGTCTTGTCCTGGTCAGAATCTGTGAAACTATCATCTTCAAACCTCAGGTCCGATATGCCTATTCACGTTTTTATTTCGTCTTTGTAGTGGTAAAATGCCTTTAGGTTTGACTCGACCCCACTTGCGATCTGACTTTGCTTGGTTCATGAATCTGGCCAACATCCTCCTGTCCTGCTCTTCATTTGTCCTAATCTACATCTCAAAATTCTGAGTTTTCTTTTTAACTCTGTCAATTGCCACATAGTTCATGTATAACAGTCTCCTTGCATTCCTGGAGGCACTGGGTTTGGTCTTGGGTATACAAGTGTACGTGTACCCCAAAAACCAACATCACGCTAATTGCAGCTTTACATAACTGACGTTTACATATAGGGGATATACCTCAAGTTTTGTCGATACCCCGGAGATCCAATGATCAGGAGAGGAGTGGCAGGGCTGTTTTGAATTTGGCAGGTGGTGGCGAGGTTTGAATTATTGCCACGAGAGGGCTCTGTGCACTGTCCTGACTCATTCCCACCATCTTAGTTCTTGTTCACACTTACTATGTGTCTCTGACTTCATGTTTTTTCATTATTTCCAACTTCGTGTTACTCGATCATACCTAAATACCCCCCGTGTTAGTTCCTCTTGCACTGGGTAGCTTGATGTGACCTGATAAGGCATAATAAGGAATAAAAAGAGTGGTGATGGACCAGCAATGAGGGGTAGAGACTTTAACTTGCCACCCTAGACTGTCTCTTAACATCCTTAATACCGGTAAATAAGTCTCAATTTATGATTTACATTGCTTATTTAAGGCTTATTATGCTTGATTTATGTCTTGCTTTATTATCTTGCTTGACAGTGTGCACGACAAAGATATATCAATGGTAAATGGGAGTTTTTAGAGGATGGCTAGTCCCTAGCCCCCTGAATTTGTTCCGTTCTCATTACCAAAAAATTTTTCCGGTCCCTATAGGCGTTGATTCTCAGGGGTACACCTGTATATTTCTCGATCAATGGTTCACCTTACTGGCTATGATAGTGTAGTGTCTGCATTCTTATATCTTAGTGAGTCAGGCCAGTGAATACCCCTCATCCCGTTGTAATTGCCCTTGTAATATTTGAACCTTGGTCTGCTTTTGCCATGAACCAAGTAACAGTTAAATATGAAGGATAATGTTATGTTGTGAATGGTGCCAATGGGCCACCATACCCTCCTCGATATTTATGACGAGGTCCAGCGATTTGGGTGTTTGCTCCCCTCTGTAGCGAGTCGGATCTTTAACATGTTGCAATAGAAAGTTCTCAGCATTTCTACAAAATGAGTGGTGGGATTATTAAGGTCATTTGGCATGGATTCATTTCTCTAGTCGATGTCGCCATAGTTAAAGTCCCCCATGAAAAGGAGACAGCTAGGGTTGAGTGCCGTTGAATTGTCAATAATTATTGAGGCCCTTAAGTTCCTTTGGTTTAATAAGCTACAGTTTGGGGGATCTGTAGATACATCCAACAATGATTACGTCTCCCCTTTAGTTTGATTTTTACACCACTTGGATTCTTAAAAACATCCTTCTCCTGCACCCTCACCTGGCTGGCTCTTTGGTCTTGCCTCGCATAAATAACTACATCCCTCTTGCAAGTTGCTCGAGAAAGTTTCGTAAATGAGTCATAACCATCCATATTGAACTCATATTCCTCTGGGTAAGTTCGCCTGTTCTTGTACAACAGTTCTACAACACCCACTATATCAGGTGTATGAACATTGAGTAGGGTTTCAAACTCTGCTCTCTTATCAAGGAACTTGTCAGTATTAGTGTACATGACTTTAAAGCCCAAATTTGTCCTCAGTAATGTCCCTGGTCTTGGTAGTGACTCCAATCCCCCTACATTCTCTGCAGTTGTCTCGTTTACTAAATAATCGAACACTAAAATTTGGATTTTTATGTAATTCGAGTGACCCAGAGCCCCCTTTTGACAAATTAACAAGGGTATACAGCTACTTCTCGACTTACGACCTACTCAACTTATGACCACCCGGACATACGACCGCCTCAGTCATACCAAAATTTTGTCAAATTACGTATTTTCGATTCCCGACGTTAGTGATTGCGCTGTGTACTGAAAAAATTTTCATTTGTAATTCACTTTAAAATGGATGGCAAGCTTAAAAGAGAGAGTTATGTGGTGCTGAGAAGAAAAAGAGACACCCATTTTAGATTTTCTATGTATTAAGCATTTTCGACTTATGACTAATTCAACTTACGACTTGGGTTTGGGTCCCTAACCCTGTCGTAAGTAGTCGAGGAGCATGTATGTATGTATGTATGTATGTATGTGTGTATATATATATATATATATATATATATATATATATATATATATATATATATATATATATATATATATATATATATATATATATATATATATATATATATATATATATATATATATATATATATATATATATATATATATATATATATAAAGAAAAGGGGGTGTTACAACTTAAGAGAAAAATCCTGAAGCATGTGTGATAACTGGAGAGTCAAAAGTACTACACCTGTACATGAAAATAGTCACTGTACTTGCTGTGCTGCTGTTTTAACTGGCCACTCAGATCTATTTCATTATACTGTCAAAATACAATTTACAGGATGCTTATCCTTTATGTGTTCGTTCTATATACAGCAGAAACATATCTCTAGAAGCACAAGGATATTACAGTATGAAGTGGACAACTTCATGACAACAGCCAGGAAAAAATTCTACCACAAACAGTTGCATACAAACATTAGGCATAATGCACAGTGCAATAGGTTGTAGTTCACCTGCTCTACATAACACTGCATCCATCAGAATGTGTTTTGGAAATCTGTCGAACAGGGTTTCCAATTTCTACGTCAGAAGTAATATCCACCACCTCGTCGAAATCAGGAAAGGCCATAGTTTGAAGTTTGGAGTGAACCACAGTGTCATCAATGCTAACTTCAAATGAAGCTTGTGTAAAAAAAATAAAAAATAAAATTACAGTACTGATCTGGGGGAATATATCACTATCAAACACCAAATGACTTTACCTCTAATGCATAATATGCATGTGAAGTGGTTCAATACAATATTGTAAATGGAAGCTGTACACAAAGAACAGTTGAGTACCCAAATTTGTCGACTTTTTCAACTCCCTATTATTCTGCCCTAGTCCTTGGAATCCAAATGAAATTCCTATGCTATAAGCAAGGTTTTCACTTCACTGCCTTAAGTTTTATCATTAAATAGGTAATACACTTCAGGTGGAGCACAAATTTTAGAAAACCCAATATTAAAAGACAATATTATGGAGAAGTTTAAATTTTAATCCTTATATTGTTACAGTACAGTATCTACTGAGATGGCAACAAATGCTTGAAGCCAAGAATGCATTTTAAGTGATACTTTGACTTCTTTTCAAATGGATCATGCATTGAAGGTGAAAAGGAGTCAAGATGATAAATGATGTCTTTACCCTTGAAGATGTGACTGACAACTGATCCAACCTGAACCCAAAGGCCGACTTACCCCGGTACCCATGCTATTCTAAATGCAGTTCAGGAAATTGTGCACAGGACAAAATTATTTATGATCAATGAATACAGGAATACGTGGTAAATTTTCAGCACCCAAACAACCTTCATGGTAAAGTAATTTCTCCGTTAGCCGGAATCTCCATTAGCCAGATTTCTCCAACATTCGGAATTGAAATCGGCTTGGAATTTTTCCAGGAAAATTCCCTCAAGTCCGGGTCTGCGAACAACTTTCAGGGGTTGAAAATCAATAGCATTTTCTGAGAAAATTTTGGAACTCTCCATTTTCCCCCAGGGTCTAGGAGTAAATTCCAAGGATGAAATTATGCATAATTACTGGAAAACTCAAAAGAAAATTTTCCAGTGCAGTATAGTCTCGATTTACGCGGATTTCCTTTACGCGTTTGGTCATTTACGTTGCGGCACCTGGCCAGACCGGCAATTATTAGTTACGCGGTACATTCCATCATTTACGCGGGAAGCAGCGTGGGCAGAGTGCGCACAAGGTCGCCCAGTCAATAAAACATTACCGAGTTCTTCATCCGCCATCCACCACAGCCAGCCCAAGTCAGTGATTGTGAGGATATGGAATTTGAGGGGTGTGACAAAGAGGCCCTGCAAGCCTCTGTGGTGGATAGTGATACAGGTGAGGGCCAATAATCTGCCCTCTGCCTCGGAACCAGCCCCCCATCCCCGTGTGCTCAGCCATCTCTTCTACTAACGCAAGTGTTAAAAAACCTAATATTATTGACATTTCTCTTAAATATTAATTGTGTGTGCATACCATCAAAAAATTAAGATGTTATTTTTACTACAACACACGTATTGTGTCGGAAAAAGGGTAGTCTGGGGGTCGGCCCAGTCTCTATTTCAATTAATCCCTTATGTTCTGTTATTTCGTTTACGCGTTTCTCATTTTACGCGGACCTACACGGGTTTAATTGACGGCGTAAACCGAGACTATACTGTACTGTACAGTACTTGGAAAAATTCTGGGGATGTGGGATTTTTCCGGGTTTGAGTCATCTCGTTACCTGGAAATCTCTTTGCTGGAAGAGTTTTGCACAAATTATTCCGGCTAACAAGGATATCATTACTATTGGGTTGGTCTGAATAGCATTTATTTGCACATGAAAGTAAGTGCTTGATAACAAATCAAATTAATAGTTTTCATCCTGTCTGGCACCGGTTACCTTTACAGTATTGCACAAATACATAGATGCCACTCCAGTACAGTATACTACCAGTACCTTTCCTTGGCAATAAGTATTTGTTCATTTCATCATAAATAATATATGAACAATGTTTTGTACAGTATACAGTATTAGAAATTTATGCTATTAATTGAAAATCAATAAATTATCACATGACAATTTACCACAAAAACCTGTGTACAGTTCTTAGTAGAAAGTGAGCACATTCAAATCTTTCCACCAGTTATGTACAGTATGCACAATGCACATACAATAAACTTTAATTTTCATTACAAATCACTGCTGTCAACTGTTATAAGCTATGCACATGGCCAGGACCAGTAAGGGGCAGTAAGGGTTGTATTGTACTGTATATGGTAAGGAATTGCTTTTTAATTTCTATATTTTTAGTAAAGACAGGACTGCAATCCCAAAACCAAACTTCAAACTTCTAACAGTAAGTAAACTCCTGATCACAAGTATTTTAATCACATGACTAAATATCTGAAACATATTAGGTTTAGCAAAAAGTCAAACTACATTAATATGCCAGGGTTAAAAACAGCCACATTCAATAAGGACATAAAAGTAAAGTACAGTACTGTACTGTACTAGGATAAAAATGTCAAGATTTTTTTGAATCTGACTCCAGTTCCTAAGAATTTTTTTCATAAGGACAGAAAAGTCATACTTTACTAACCTACTAAAATTGCTATGCTAAAATATTTTGGTTATAAGATAATTTTTTTATTACTGTACAGGACAGTCTAATTGTGTTGTACTGTATCGGGCATTGGACGATGAAAAAATCAACAATAAAACAATCTTCAGTTTTAAGATCTACAAACACCTGTAGCTCCTGTCCAAGATGAAGTGTTTTGTTCCAATAACATGAGAGGCTGAATTAAGGTGACAACAGTTTTAAAAGAAGCACATGATACTGAAGCCATTTTGAAAGATTCTGGTTTATGAGACTGACATTACTATTTCCACTGCTTTCTCATCCTCCTTTTAATAACTTATGAACGAATTAATGGGTATTAAAAAATTTTCATCTTATAAAATTTCTAAATAATTATAGTGATCAAGTTATCTATCCAAAGAAAATTTAGATAATCATTTACCTAGGTTCTATGGTTCAATTGAAATGTTAACAATATCTCCAGTATTTCCATATACAAACACCACATTTCTTATATCGTCTCTATTTAAATGTGATCTAAAGCTTTATCAATCCAACCAAAAATTTCTTTACTAGAGTATTTAGTGGTACCTGACTAATACAATAAAACTCCCTAAGTCGGACTTATTCTGAGCTGCTGGCACATATGCAAAGTTATAACCGACCACGTTTGCAACACCAGTCTCCGACTCTAATCTTTCTGTGACACCTGAACCGCAAGATAATGCAATGGCATCCATCAGTGCTTTACATGATTAAATAGTGACTACTGTACAGTACACAGTTTCAAGAGGTTTCAAGAGATCAAATTTAAATTTAGTGTAACCAATTTTACCCTGTAGTGTAATTAAGTTTAGTGTAATACTCTATACTGTATATTTCTACTTTAATGTTAAGCATGTCATACTAGCCAAAGTGCAGTGCCTCTCCCCACCCACCAAGGCTCCAGCAATCATATGGGAAAAGGTAAGTGCCCTGGAGTGTTCAGGTATTTCTTGTAACAGTTATTAATTCTTTTAATATAAAATTTTTCAATCTTTACGGTTTGGGTAAATTTTTAATAGTTTTTGACAATCGGGGCACAAATTGAGGTTATTTCCTCAAAGTCAGACTTTTGGTTGTTGGACTGGCTTAATCCCTATACAGGTATATAGTACAACTTATGGAAGTTTTACTGTATTTTATCTAAGTAGTCTCTAGCTTAATCAGATATTGATTTCAATTGGTATGTAAGTAAAGGTGTATGATTTTCATGCAAATAAATTTTCAAACAAGGGCACAGCTAAGAAAATAGTTTGTATTATAATATACATGTAAGTATTCTGTACTGTACCAAGACAAAAATACGTACTTCGACGCCCAACAACACCATTGACATCCGCCTGAGGAACCTTTGCCTTGATCATCCTGGCCAGTTCCTCATAACGGGGGGCGTACCCTCATCCACCACTGTTAAGAAATAAGAAAATATTATAGTAAAATAAAAATTAAGAAGCTGACAAATAAAAGCATAAAGTAGATTTCCATAATTTTGTACAAGGTTGGCAAAAACCATGGCCTAAAAAAAAAGTGTTTTAATGCTACAGGTATTATGTTGATTTTAATAAATTTAAAGTACTATACAGTGGTCCCTCGGTTAACGAACACAATTCGTTCCAGAAGGTCGTTCGTTAACCGAAACCATTGTTTCAATGGGATTTTGAGTAATTGGTTCCAGCTCACCGAAAATTTTGTACAAACTAAAAATAAATGCAGTAAAGTACACTTACTTTGAGGTGTGCATGTAGAAGGCTCCTGGTTGATGATGATGATTGGAATTAGAAGTGGGGGTGGAGGAGAAGGGAGAAGAGAACGAAGTGGGGGTGGAAGAGAAATCACCCCATGCTTCATGCCGCCATTTCACCCATAAAATTTTAAGTTCACTAGGTGTAATTCAAGATTATTTTCTTTAAATCAACACTGCACTGCACTGCACTATATATTGTCAATATGTAAAATAAATTTCAGAATGACCAATAATTGTACTGTAAAAACGTAAAAATAGTTTATGTTCAAGAGAGTCTCGAGCAAGATGTTACCTCCACTGAGCAGACACACAAACTGATGCCTGCTGGGTGAGTCAAGTGGCTGTTTGGCACGCTAAAAACTAGTTTCCTGTACTTCAATTATGTTCAATATTTGTTAAAATGACTAAAAATTTTAAGATAAAACTTTTAAAATTATTGAATAGTACAACCTTCTTGATATTACTCAAATGGGAACGAATTTAAGCCCTAGAGCCGATTACTGTACTGTATTGGCGGACTGATAATCCAGTTTGGATATCTAAATAAAGGGATGAACGTAACAAAAGTTTTACCCATTTTCATTTAATACATAATAAGCAAATCAGTGTGCAGAAGGGCTGAAAAAGAGTTCCTGAAAGCGAAGTCATGTCAAGTCCAAAGGCTTTCTACCACTACGCAAAATCGAAATTAAAAATGTGTGTCGGTGTATCAGATCTATGAGTCATCACATCCACAAAAAAACGTAGGTTGAGATTCGTTTTAACGTCCCTACCAGTTTCTATAGAAAGTTAATATTTTACTCTTTGGACTTTAGATATAGGTTACATTACCTTTCAACATTCTTGGATACTTATTACTGTATTTTGAAACTAATGTCAAAAGTTGAATTATTTACCACAAAAACTCCTTTGAAAATTCTGACAAATCGCTGCGTGTCGTCTGTTTGTTTACAACCGACCCACTCGGTCCCAGCATACTCTCATGTCCACAAAAAACGTAAAATTATGCCATAACGCTTCAACAAAGTTGCTTTCATTAGTACCAGATATCACAAAAAGTACTTTGTTTAATATGGCACGGGGTAAGGTTAGGTAGGTTTCTTTGATTGGTTATTTCTATATGTCTGACATTTTTTCATAAATGGGGATTTCCCGAGGAAAATGAAGGTCAGGTTTCAACAAAGCGCACCAAAATACACCAGAAAAATATATTTCCTTGTAAAAAACGAATATTTACCAAAATATAAAATTATACCATAACACTTCCAAAAATTTTTTTTCATTGGTACCAAATATAAAATATACTTTCTGCTTAATAGCTTAATATGGTGGGGGGACGGTATTATTATTGTTTCGATTATGCAGCGAATTTTAGGATTTTAAGCTTAGGTTACGTTAAGTTGAAATTATGGTTTTCCGATGTTTTTTTTTTTGAGTTTTGAACCATTTCCAAATACTGTAGGTGCATCACCAAAACAATAATTATACTTGGGGGGGAATCCACCAGCTAGGAAGTTAGGTAGGGTTAGGTAGGTTTCTTTAGCAGTTGGTTAGAAAAAACATATAAACCTAACCGGTATTATATTACTTTCGGATATAGCGCGTACGAAAGTTATAAACTACTGAAACATTTGGATCTCCCTATTCTGAGCATTTTGAACTCCATATGTACCAGGCAGAAATGGATAATAGCGACAATTTAATTTAATTGATTTTACTTACCGGGTAGTTTTCAGTCTTCGTCTGTGAGGAGATGTTATCGGCGCATCACACATGCGCAATATTGACCGACGTCATCCTTTCTGTGATCAATGATGTATCGATAACAGGGTTTTTTTTTAACCAATCACATTTGATTTTTTTCAAAGGAAGCAACCTGGGTACAGATTTTAATTTCATTGACCAGTCTCACAATGGCCGTGGTGGAGGTTAGCTGTCATTTGTGCTCCTACGATTATTTTAAGTTTAATGCCGAGTTTTACGAGAAAGACGATCATTCTATCCAATTCTTACGTATCCCTGGTCCTTCCACTTTTAATGAAGGTATTGTACTTTCGGACATGGGGCGCCCCAAAGTTTTAAACTACCGAAACATTTAGATCAGTTTAAGCTCTCCATTATTGTTGAAGGGGGTCAAAACGATCAATTTCTGCCAAAAATGAAGGTCAGATTCGTCTTAAACACGCCAAAATACACTGCAAAAACATATTGGCCAACCAAAAGGGAATCCTATCCTTAATTAAAAATTTACCACCTAACCTGACCTAACCTAACTCTCACGGTGTTTTTAAGTAACCGTACACATGACCATTTAAGAAGAGAAGATTAATGGAATTAAATAGAGAAAGATTTGGCATGAGCTATCTCTGTTATCATACGTTTCCGAAGGTAATGTAATACAAGAAAATTATCTTAAATTCAGAGGTCTTTTTTTAATATGATAGTAGATAAGGGGTAGGAATGTTGTGTTTACTACTATAAAAACACCGTTGTTTGCCTTTTAAAAGGTATTATTGTGCTTAAACATTCCCACTTACTACCGCTAATCTATTATCATATTCTAATAAGACGTCTAATTATAAGATCATTTAAATCTATAACATAACCGCCGGAAATGTATATTAACGGAGATAGCAAATCCAAAATTTTCTCGATTTTTTCTATAATCTTCGGCCATTTAACGCGTACTTCACCTTTCACACTGCGAGTCTCCTGCGCGTCTCCTTCATAAATCATCACGCGCATGCATTCCCGTACATGTCACGCGACCAATCAAAAGCCTTTTTTTTTTTGCAATCAATTAAAATGATTTTGGGTTTAATTCGCGGTATTTTTGGACCAATCACAATCAATTTTTATTTTGGGTCTCATATTTCGAAATTCAAGTTCAGTTCCGACCATGGAAGCCTGCGATGGGTGTCACTTCAATTATATGGAGCTGATTGCGAGTTTTTGGGAAAAAAACGAAGAAACTTATGCATATTTTCGATCGCATGGTGTTCTTCCAACCTCAGTAAAGTGTACTAAGATCAAGACAATGTAAATATTGCAAAGACCAACATATGTGGCATTGTGTAAGAATCTCAGAATCCAACGACAAAAAAGAACCAGCCCAATAAGGTAAGAAATAGGTGATTCCATCATATGGTGAGAGTCAGTTAGGTTAGGTTTTTCTAGTGTTTTGGTGTATTTTTTATACGGTTAGCGATTAATTTTTTCGAAGTCTCGAAAAAATCGAAAAAAACGGCCAATTTCCGAAGGAAATAAAGGCCATATTCGGTCGACACACACATAAATACACTAGCAAAATATATTTTTAACTTTCTACCAGATGGGAGGGGTGGAAGTGTAAATTTACCTTTTAAAATACTTACTATAACGGAAAAAACATGTGGAAAAAATTAACAATCGAACAACCCCATTTGGTGATAGTGCTGTTCTCAAGACATCATCGTGGTTTCCTCATAATTTTTTTTTTCGGGATTAGCCCACCCGGACACAGGTCACTGACCCACATCGGGGCCTAGGGGGCGAAAATGTAATAATAATAATGATGATAATAATAATAATAACAATAATAAAAATAACAATAATAATAATAATAATAATAATAATAATAATAATAATAAATAATACTGTAGTCATAATAATTCATAATAAATAAAATTTATGATAAAACAAACAAAAATATAATAATAAAATAATGATAATACAGTAACTGTAATAAAAACAATAATTTTAATAATAACTATAAATACAAAAATGAAAAAAAGATCAAAAGTGAAAAACGATATATGTACTGTATGTTGTGTTGTCAATGGTAAGAGAAACAATTGAGACCCTGCAATTGTGTGTAAATGAGGCAGAAAGTCAGATCAGCAACCTGGGACTTGATCACAATTTTCGTGATGCCATATGGCAGCAGGGTCTACCATTACACAACACATTATGCTTCTAATATCTTCCCAGGCGGTAGTACCTCCCTGTTTGGTAGCTGCCTACTACCTATTACCGAAATGACAAAATAAAAGGCAGATTCAAAGAAAGTATAGTTAACAAAACTTCTCGAACCCGAGTTATATAACTTGAGAATCCGAAAAACTAATGTCTACACTATTCAATGTATATATTTAAAACTAATTTACACAACCTTTCGTTTACTTACCAGTACTCGACGGATACCTTCACCATTATGCCTGTAGCGTGGACGGCTTCAAAGTGTTAAAATACTCCCCGTCAGGTTTATGCACCCTCCTCCTTCAGTGTTGCTTGTCACTCTGGAATCCAGATTCCGGGGCCGAGGCGGTGGACCGGTCGGTCGGCGGTCGCTGAGTTGCTCTGGACTGGGTTCAACTGTTTATTATATTTTTTCTCAATTTGTTATGTCTATTCTGCTGCTATGAAATTTTTCTCTAGTTTTTATGTCTATTCTGCTGCTATGAACTAAAATGGCTCACCCAAAATTAATTCTCGTTCTCATAGCTCTGGATTTCATGTGTCTGCCCTCGATGCTGTTGTTTTTTAAAGTTGAGATTCTTTGGTAGCCGTTTTTTTTGTCTGTTACGCCTATCTCTAGTTTCAATAAATGTTTTGAATTTGAATTTGAATTTATCTAGTATTCGTCCAGTTGATTACCAATCCTATCCTCTTTCCTTCCCAGATGGCAAATCCATTTTAATCGTATTTTCGTTTCTAAATTTTATATCTGCATTTCTTCTCTCATTTTGTAATGGACTTCTTGTTCACTTCAACATTCTCATTTTGCTCTTTCACAATTATGTGCTGTTCTCAAGTATGCAAATTTCTATCTCAAACAATCTCGTTGCAAGACAAATCCCACGTACACTATTATGCCTTCAAGTGAAAGTAGAGTTAGGGGACTGAAATAGCATACTGCAGTTCACAACAGGGCAGCACATTACAGCCTATCAAAAATGTGGAATGATATTAACGTGCAATATAACATTTATTACCGTATAGCATATTTATACTTGTTAACTTTATGCAACACCGATTTTTTAACAGACAAAAATAATATAAATTTACTCCAAAGAGTCTAATTTCATATATCACAGGGTACGGGTGATGAGATTTTCTGTAATCTGTTTGAACACATTACATTATTTTCATCTCCAAATCAAATTTATTCTAATGAGAATATCCTATCATGGAACATAACAGACTCAGCTGTTATATGAATTAGAAATACAGTATAAGTAAACATGTCTATAGAACCTTCACAGCAATATTAAAATATAATAGTTTTGCAAGATTTAAAAATCTTTTTACTTGGGTGTTGAAGGACTAACGGTAGTGTCATTCGCCTTTGTCATATCTTGTTATATCTACAGACTGCTCATCGTGTTTCCTTCACTGATTGCTCCACCATGGGATTTATATCGGATACAGATTGTTAGTTAATATCATAGATATGGAAACTGCAAAGCATTGATGTGTGCTCTCACACCGCCTTTACATATACTTGTTAAGAAAAGCGAAACCTGATTAATTCCCAACAGAAGCGTTTATGCACATCGTGTGAAAGATTAATGAAATCAAGTTTTTATTCTAACATCAATATTTACACTTTTAAAGTGTTTACAACTTTACGTAGCCCTCAAGTATGTCTATTTTTAATAGGATGTAATACCTTATTGTTCTCAAAACCGAAGGTTCTAGAGCGGAAGTGTGTAGGTAAGAATATGAAGTTGAAAGCGTAAAAGGGTTGGGAGTTAAATACTGATATCAACAGATGTTCAGTAAAATCTTCATAAAAGTTCACATTGGTTTAGCACATACACAAGATAGGGCACTAATATGATCTCTGGATTATATCGAGATGGTAAACTCGGTTGATTGTTTTTGTGTACAGTCGTAAAAAAAAAAAAAAAAAAAGGTAGTAGTATACGAGATCGGATTTTGGAAATTTATGTTTACAATATTTCATATTTCATAATAGTGTTAAATGCCACACAAGCACCCGCTGTTGATTGCTACACAGTCGACATATGTTATCCGGTTGTGGAGCCACTTACAGCTAGCTGGTCACGTGTTGGGAAAGTCACAGGAAATACCGAGTTGCCGGACATTTGATGTTTAAAAGCTGTAGTAGGAAATTATTTGTGATATCTTCTATCTACACGTACTGTAGATAAAACACGTTTATTTTTCAAATGAAAATTAAATATGTCCTCTTTTTCGGCAAAATTGAATGTTTATACAAAGAAGGCGGTGGAAAAGTGATTATTTCAGCGTCAATTTAAACCCAACTTTCTTGTAAAAATACACACAAAAGGAGAGAGAGAGATTATAAGGAAATCTTGCACAGTAACGTGGCCATCAAAGCAGGACGGCCTCCACTCAGCATGACCAGCACGAACTCTATATACTGTACGTACATATGAAGCAAGAGACTCAACTTGGGGAGGGTATTCCAGCACAACCAGCTCCTATAATGAAGTTGTGGGGTTTTTGGGATGTTTGTGTTCACACTCAGGATGGAATGGAGAAAGGAAACTCACAATGTGCTCTCTATATACATGTTGTATTGGATGTACAATGCAGCTTGGTGCTGGGAAGGCAGCATGGTTACAAGCGTGATGTAGAGAGAGCTGGTTGGTGAGGACGCTCAGAGAAGGACAGCTTGTGGGTCGCCATGCTCGCCGGCAGGAGCGAGGACCACCAGGCAGGCGGAGGAGGAGGAGGTGTTGCTGGCTGGTTGGTGTAGGTAGAAAGAGGCAGATCACCACGAGGTCAGGTCTTAAATAGCGGGGGGTAGGCGTGGCTTAGTAGTTGACCCCGCTCCGTGATGTATGGCGGCGCTGGTTGACCTAGACCACGAGGCATACACTGGGGTGGGGTCGGCTACTCAGCGACAAACAGCGTTTGTAGGGGAGAAATCCACTACAAAGTATTTAGTATTATCCGTTGATACACACAGCATACTTTATATTTTGAAACACTTAGCTTAGTTTATGTTATTACTTTTATTCGCTGGTGACGTTTCTCGAAATGTTGCCAAACTTCTCGTACACAAGGGTGAAGGATCAAAATCTTTCAGCATGCATGAAGCAGAACAAAATGTGAAATCATGTCTGTATTCGTTATAAATGGATGAAGCAGGTTTACATAGCCTCTGAAGTGGCAGTTAACAGCTATAACTTTTATGTGGAATTTATATGTGGTATATGTGGCACAAAACTAAAGTACTGTAGCCTATATCATTTCTTTACTGCGAACATGGATATAAATTCGCCCACCCAGGCCTATAGAAGGGAATCATGAACTTCATATGCTTCCCTATTAGGAGCTGTAGTGTTCTTGCTCTTCGACTTACACCGAATGTAAGACTGTAAAGGGATGTCCAATAAACTAGCCCCCTGCTCTTCATGGAGCGAAATATGAAAATTTGAATCTGAATAAGAACACAAACTGCCCACTCCTACACAGTACACACTCTCCCAACAGGTAGACGGGTGTAGCTAGTTAAGCAGGAACAAAGGAAACATCTTTCACTTTACAATTCCCCCTAATAGTGTGGGTGCCAATCACCCGAACCTTTTTTTATCTGATAAGTATTTTATCGCTGATAACAAATCACATACCACCCTCATGTAAAATTTGAAGGGTGCAACTCTGATATACCTTTGGGGATCTTTTCTAGATTAAGCCTTTAAACATCAAAATAAAACGAGAAATAACAAATAAATATGAAAACTAAACACCGCCAGTTGACTGAAAATGTCCAGAGGTGCCACCAGACTAATGCCTGTACTTCGGCACCTCAGCTATCCAGAGAGAGTGGAGCACCTGCAACTGCTTAGCTTATAATACAGACAGGCAAGGGGTGACCTAACTGAGGTGTATAAACATCTCAGAGGGCACTACTCAGTCGAGTGTCCATACTCTTGGAGCAACCTGCCAGTGTGTTGTGGCGGCACTGAGTGTGAGCTCTTTCAAGACCAATTCCTTTCTGAGACTTCTGAGAGACTTTTGGCATGATGTCTATGCACAGTGGTTAGTTGACCGAGATGTAGCAGTGAACAACACACGTGACGGTGGCGGCAAAACACAGACTTGAGCGAATGTGAACAAACCCCATGCACGGAATTGAACAGAATCACGCTCGTGTTAGCGGAAATTCGATTTAACGGAAAGGGGTAGCTCAAATTAGTTCGTTAAATCGAGAAAAACTGTACATTTTTGTCTGCAACCACCCACTTTCAGATAAGATTATATGTAATCTCATGCCCTTGGGTGCAGTTATTTAACCGATCTTATGACTCACACATCATTCTTTCCCTGATTTGTCTATTTACTGGGGCATGTGGATGTGTACAGTATGTGTACTGTACTGATTCGGTCTCTTGATGCATTACGTACCGGGTATATCTATACTGTACTATTGTAATTTCTATTTCCCTATCTTACAGGGTACTTGTTCTTTCACCCTCAGATTCAAGGATTACCGTACTGTACCTTCCTCGTTTACAAATAATTTTCATCCAATCCTGACCACATCAATCAACCATATATTGTATTGGATTCCTTCTAATACATCACTTCTGTTTCTAGTCCCCCATGGTCCTCCTTCCAATAATGTTTCTCCCTAATTTCTAATACAGTACAGTACTGTACTGTACTGTATTGTCCTGCATATCTGGTCTACCATTTGGGAAATTTTGAAAGGACATTCTGCCTCTGCTATTTCATTCATTTTATCCACATTAAATGTGCATGTTCTAATACTGTACTATCTTCTCTAAAGGGTTCCTAAACCTTACTGCATTTTTATACCTTTTACTACCTCTACCCGTGAAAGCACATGTCAGGGGCATGCCAAATGTAATAATATTCCTGAGACTGTTGCTGTCCAACATTGCCAATTGCCAACCACAAGGGGTGAGAAAATGCATCATTATACGGTACAGAACTGTGCTATCATGCTCAATCACACAAAGAATTTAAAGTAGTACCTGTATATAAAATCTTTCTAATATTACACTACATTCACATTAAAAAATAAGTTTTTTTTAAACAAACAATGTATATAAATAATGTAGGAAACAAAACTACAAGAACAAAAGATAAGAATGTAGTGGATTCCTCCCCTACAAGCACCGAACCTTCTCGAATTCCCCAGCCTATGCCTCCAGCGCCGCCCACAGAGCGGGGGTCAACTATCTACCCACGCCTTATAAGGCCTGACACCGCTGTGACCACCCTCTTTCTACCCAGTGCCACCAGCCAGCAACACCACCACCTCCTCCACGCCAGCCTGGCGGCTGCCACTCCCGCCAGCGACCTTGGCGTCCCTCAAGCCGCGTATCCCTCCTCTGGGCACCCTCACCACCCAGCTCTCTCTACTCAAAGCTTATTACCATGCTACCTACCCAGCAACAAGCTGCATTGTACATCCAATACAATATGTATACAGTGAGCACATTGTGAGTTTCCTTTCTCCATCCCATCCTGAGTGTTAACCTATATCTCATAACCCCACAAGAACTTATTTGGAAAACTAAATTATCCAGATTTTTTCACTTCTGTCAATTCCACCATCTTCTTATTGGCAAGGGTGTACAGCAAAATGCTTCACCATAAGAACATAAGGTGGGGCTTGGTTGCTGTATTACAGGTACCACTTATCTTCAATTTCACTTACTTTTTCTATCCACTCCCCCCCCCCCCCAAAAAAAAACAAAAAAAAACATGCCCAGTTTGTACCTTAATCACATAATGTTAAACCCTTCCAAAAACTTGACCTCATTGATTAATACACTGTTTTACTACAGCAGAAAGATAACTTATTTTCAGCCACACCTCTTCAGCAACATTCCTATAACAGTACAGTGGTCCCTCGGTTAACGAACACAATTCGTTCCGGAAGGTCGTTCGTTAACCGAAACCATTGTTTCAATGGGATTTTGAGTAATTGGTTCCAGCTCACCGAAAATTACATAAAGTAAAAAAAAAAAAATGCAGTAAAGTAAACTTACTTTGAGGTGTGTATGTAGAAGGCTCCTGGAGACTGTGCCAGTGTAAGTTCAGGATCAGTGGAAGTTGCCTGATAACACCTCCTGAACATTTTCTTCATGTACAGCTTCTTGAAGTTGCTAATCACATTCTGGTCCATTGGCTGTATAATTGATGTAGTGTTGGGAGGCAAAAACAACACTTTGACAAAGTCAAATCGAGCCTCCAAAGTGCTGGCAATTTGAGGGTCATGACCAGGGGCATTATCCATAAGGAGAAGAGCCTTTAAAGGGAATTTATTGGTGGTTAGGTAGCTTTTCACAGAAGGGAAAAACACCTCAACAGCCCATTCATTAAATAGCTGTCTTGTCACCCATGCCTTACGGTTGGACTTCCAATAAACTCCAAGTTGTCCTCTTACCACCGTTTGTTGCTTGAACACTCTGGGGTTCTCAGAGTGGTAGACAAGCATAGGCTTCAGTCTGAAATCCCCTGAAACATTGGCACCAAGCAAGAGAGTGAGATGGTCCTTCATGGGTTTATGCCCAGGTAAAGAGGCTTCATCTCTGGTGGTGAATGTCCTTTTGGGCATTTTCTTCCAGAACACCCCAGTTTCGTCCACATTGAACACTTGCTGTGTAAGATAATTTTCTTCCTCCACCAGTTTCTTAAACGCCACTACAAGCTTTGCTGCTCCTTCTTTATCTGCACTGGCAGCTTCACCATGCCTAACACTAAAAATGTCACTTCTTTTCTTAAATTTTTCTAACCAGCCCTTGCTGGCCCTACACTCTTCAAACTCTGTGCCAGAAGAACCAGGTTTATCTTCCTTTAAATGTTCGTAAATTTCCCTGGCTCTTCCACAAATAAATTCAGTAGAAACTGAATCACCTTTCATTTGTTTTTCCCTAATCCAAATAAGAAGTAACCTCTCGGTTTCTGCTATTAATGATCTACCTTCAAACACCCTGGTAGATTTGTCTCCGACTTTCACTTCTTTGAACTTATCTTTCTGTGCAAGAATTGTCGACACAGTTGATGCCGACATGCCATATTCTTTACTAAGCACATTTGTTCTAATGCCTTCTTCATGTTTCTTAATGATTTCCTGTTTCACTTGAAATTAAATCGCCTTTCTCTATTTCTTTGGAGCCATGCTGGATTCAATACAGTAATTTCACCACTAAAATTTTAAGTTCGCTAGCTGTAATTAAAGAATATTTTCTTTAAATCACAGAAAATAATGGACACTCATGTGGCATCTGATAATTGAAGGTTCTAACTAAAGCTATGGTTCCCCTTCCTGAGACTGCACACACACACACACACACCCTTGCATCCTGGGCTGCTCATTGGCTGAGTGAGTGACATCATGGCTTCACATGCCTCTGACTGGTCACACTGTGGTGCATATGTTGGTGTTCAATCTGGCCGGTGACCTACACACGCCAAGTGGAGACTGTGCAAAAGACCAAAATTCCTATGTTTATAACTCAAAATTTTCCCTACTCTTAAGACATATTTTCTTTCTCAGCCCAGCTAACATTACAGAGATTTACCTAGCAACACGATGGGACAACAATCAGATTCTCCAAGCGCCTCATATAATGTTTCTGCTGGTAAACTGGGAGATTAGATATATGGATGCATATACAGTAGTGGTTAAAAAAACTTATGAATGGATGGATGAGTATGTGGTGAATGATCACAAAGAGGGCCACATAATATGATTTATAAGGTGAAAATAAAAAAAATACATTTTGAAACAACAGAGCATATTGTTATGCCATCACTCCTCTTTATCAAGATTCTGTCACTAGTCAAAATAAGAGGTGAGGCTTGATCGTGATAGCACAGAGAAACACCCCTGCCACTAGTGGTCACATCTATAAGCAAGGTAAACCTTATAACATTTTGTATTACCTCCCCCAGGTTCTTAATAATAAGCCTCATTAACTCAAACTAAATGGGTTTCATAGTAAGGAGAAATCATACACTGCATAAATTAGTATAATAAAATTAAAGAACATATATACAAGGGACATGTAAAGGAAAAACAAAGAAATATTGAGAGCCACAGCCTAAATCAACTTAAGCCCTAACAGCAGCCTTAAAATGCACTTGAACAGGACAAAAGTATACACCACTTATCTCCACAATAATATCCTGAGTCCAGACCAACTGAACTACAACCTCACACCAGCCAGGCACGTCTGCTTCTGCCATGGTCTCCACCAGCTGAGTTGGTGACCAGTGCCCAACACAGTGCTGATACCATGTCTTCAATTATGGTACTATTTTACTTAACTACCACACAAAATTAGACCGATTTATTTGCAACATACATATTATCAATTAACATATATAACATATTAAACAAGGATTACCTACATGAACAAAGTCATATAGAATACTGTATAACCCTACTTATTGAATAAGCAGGGTAATTACCTCTGAACAGTCAAGATAATTACCTCTAAATCATGATATATGCAGTGCTACATGACCATATTATTTAAGAAAGATGACATAAGAAGCTGACACTTTTCAATCTTGCACTATGATTTAAAGAAAGTTAAACCCTGCAATAAAAAATCAAAGAGCTAATTTTATGTAACTTCAGAATTTTACTCATCAAAGTATTTGATGTACATACATGTATACGTCTCAGTACAGTACACAACCAGATTAAAAACAAATAACTTTATGGACTAAGTTTCATTACCAGAAAAGTTACAAAATATTCTTGTTTTAACACATAAGAATTACAACAGAAAAGCAAAGACATACTGTATTCTATGTGGAACAGGACCTTTTGAAACTACACTTTTTCTCCATTCCCTGATAATGCTAATATTTATGTACAAAACATAACACAGCCAAATTCAAATTTTTTATATCCTATTTGGAAAAATATGTTTCTTGTACAGAATTTCGGTATACAATTGATCAAGGCCATTCCCTTACAATTCTCAAATATATTATCTAGGAACAATAACACTGGAATGGAAGAAATGTATGGAATAGACTTTAAATTTTTTTTCACAATGTAGCTAACCTTTTTCACTGTTTAAGGCAAGATGACAATTTGAACAGTAAATCAATAACTAGAAATATTCTCCACAATGTATTGTAATATGAAGTGACAACATACATAATTTCCATTTACCGATTTGAATTAATATATGCAAATGTGACCATTCATACATTATGTACCTTAAAACAAAATACTGTATCATATAGCACACCAGCTCATTAAGTGTAAGCATTCCAACAAATCTGATGAAAATTCTTCAGAATTCTAGTTTCCAATTTGAAAACAACCAATATCCAAAGGCAGGTAAACCTCGATAAACGATGTCTCACCAGCAATATTCCGCTTTAATGATGGTCACGAATTAAGATCATTTCACTATATACGAAATATAAAAAAAAATCGCTTTAACCATATTAATCAATATCCATTAGGTGGAATTTTTTTTTATCTCTATTGCAAACTATGGGTTGTATATACTCAAGTTAATCGCTGTCTTGCAAGGATTCCAACAATGTAGTTTACATTTTTTTTATGTAAAGTCAGTGACATTTTATAAGGAAATAATATTTAACCCTATGCACCACGCATCTCTAGCTTCACTTGTCAGCCCTACCTGTGTGCCGTCACATGGCCAATGCGTGCACTACAGCCCTGCGCTTGGTTCTTTGTCGATCATAACCCTACCATCCCATTGCTCCACGATTATTGTTCAGCATCATTGACTGTACTTACCATGGGTGCTTTTTTTTTTGGTTTTTTAGTGAGAGGACAGCATTAACATGGTGACTGTAAAGTAATATTTTCTGTTTTTGTGACTAAAATGCTTCGCCTATGTTGTTGTGAAAATGGTGCGAGTAGTGTCAGCCGCTATCATTGTGTTTACGTTATCATCGTTCGATGTTTTTATGACAAGTACCTTTGCTCCGTTTTTGTAACTGAAGTGAGCAGTGTAACCTTTGGGGACGTATCCCATTGAATCGCATGTTATAATGCTCCATATCTATGATATTTCCCTTAATGATGGGTTTTCAGGAACCAAACCCCACCGTTTATCTAGGTTTACCTGTATGTCAGAAATAAATTATCTTTACTGCACTTTATATTCCTTAGTCCTTGTTCTCTCTGTGGTGTACTGTATTATGGATTGGCCAGATGCAGTCTTCCTCAAACAAAGAAAAATCTCAATACTTTCAGGTAATAGTAATTTTGAACAATTGCTTTTTTTTTTAATGGTCTCATAGTTCCCTACTTATATTATTTAATTTATCTACTGTACATGCATATACTTGTAACAAACAAGTGGTTTTTGGTTTTATTCTTGTATCTTACATGAATAATAAGCGTATTTAATTTACTTTCTAATGCTATTACTGAGCAAGAAAATTATTGGTGAATATCCAAACAACATATTTTATAAACACAACATGTAAATGCTACAACCTTGTATTGAATTTTCTGAAGTCAATGAACTATGAGGAAGAATGCTGTACAACATACAATGAATTTTAAGAGAAGTAAAATACTGTACAGTATTATGAAAAAGTAAAGGGTAATTCACAGATCAAAATAAATCCATTTTTTTTTGTATTTTGGAGTTGCTGTTGCAATTATTACACTGTAAACTCTTTAAGAATGGCCAATATTAAGAGCAAATTTGACTCTTAATGATTATAATCATTAATTCTTTCCCAGTGCTTTAATAGACGTGTCCTTTGAAGGAGTTTCCCTTCCTCACTGTGCAGGGATATAGCAATGCCAATGCCTGCTAATAACACAGTTAGCCCAAGGGGTGTGAGGCTGGTAATCTCATCAGGTTTCAGACACAGGAAAACAAAACTTCTCTTAGTACCGTGTATTGCTGTACAGCTGGCTGGAAAGATGTATAAATAAAGAAACTTGTAAGGGAGAAGAAGGGCACATGCCTCATAAGTTTTGGAAAAAAGTTTGATGTGAATTATGCTGGAAACCTACAAAAGTATTGCTTCATCCAACCCTTATAACTAAATATTCCCCCAAAAGATGTCAGGAATGACAACAGTAGAAGTAAACAAAGTGCAAAGGAATTATAACTTAGAAATTGGGACAGTAGAGACTGGGTGAATGTGAAAAATACAGGTGGTGTGGAGATAAACTCAGAAAGATGTCCAAGTATAAATAAAGTAAGAGCCAGTAACTTAGTTGTTCAGGTCTGGGAATATGTCAGGGAGCATGCCAAGGTGAGTGACTAGAGACCACACATGGTGAAGAAGAAATTTTAACATAAGTGGAAGAGTAACTGGAGATGTAAGTCTTGGTGATGAACCTGCTTAAGAAACAAAGTGAATTAAATATGAAGTGTTCAACCAATGAGGGTGTCCATATGTAGTGTTTCACTCTACATGAGGATGCAAGGAAGTGTATAATATTTCTTTACAGTGTAAGGAGGTCCCCAGATTATGTACGTCCGACTTACGAACATCCGCCGATATGAATTTTTTTTAATGAGGATTAGCCTACTCGGGCACATTAGACAACATATTATGCTTTTAATATCTTCCCAGGCGGTAGTATCTCTCTGTTTGATAGCTGCTTACTACCTACTACCTTTACCTAATTTTTTTTCTAATTACTGTACTGTATTTTTCATTCTATTTCTTCTTTTTTCTTAAATTAAGTGATTTTTTATATATATGAGGACTTAGGCTATGATATACAGGTAGTGAGATTTTAAACATTGTTCTGTAGGTTCAGTATGCACAGAGGGTATGTGATTCGACTTGAGTACATTTTCGACTTATGAACGTCTGTAGGAATGGAACTCGTACATAACTCAAAGGCTGCCTGTACTGTTATCTTGGAATGCACCATTTTTTTTTTCAGCAAAGTGAAATTTAGAGAAGAAAACTGGTATTCTGTACTTCTGTGCAAACAATCCAGTTAGTCTAATGTTTCTTCAATCTATGGCCCTGAGGTTGAAGTAAAATAAATTGCAGCTTTCACAATAGAGGTAAGAGCATGTATAACAAATATTTTTCATTAATACAAATAAGAAGCAAAACGATTAACCCAAAAAAAGTTTTTGTCTTGATTTGGTGTATCTAAACTACACATCTTTTTAAATTACTTAAAAAATCAGCAACTGGAAATTGTTACTTTTCCAAAAATAACATAAAACAGCTCTTTATGCAGGTATATGACAGGTCCTCAGGTTAACTACTGACATGTTTACAGATTATATATACAAAATACTTTACATGAGTAACAGTATCTTGAAGAAATCTATGGCATTAAAAGGACAACAAATAATATATCAGTCAAATGAAAATCTGGTAATTTAACAGTGGGAAAAAATCCAATATCTGACCTTATAAATTGGTTACAAATGAACCGAGTAATGTTCAATAGAATTTGATAACTTCTTCTGGGTACTGCAGTTCATAACTTCAATTACTGAGATGGGAACAATATTTGTTAATAAAGTACACTACAGTATAAGTATCCGGATTTTTCTTCCACAAAATTCATTAATATCAGTTGTAATATGTAATATATCCATACTATTCAAATAGTATAATTAACATGCACATGACTTACAAGCACAGTGCAGTGCAGTGCAGTGCAGTACAGTACAGTAAATAGATGTGCAGAAATATTAATGTACTGAGACCTTTACCATATTCTCCAACAGAAAATACTGCTACAAACTCAGTATGTGTCTTTATAGCAACTTTTTCTGTATACATACAATATTAATAAAATTCACAATTACTGAATGCTGTCCATACCTGTTCTAATAAAATCCTTATTTACCGACTGCACTGCACACTGGTGCAAGTAATGGAAAAAATAAATAGAAGAAAAGCACCTCAAAGATATTGGAAAATGACCAATCCACAAATTATAAATAGTATTGTATCCCCCAAAAAGTAAATCCAAATTTTGTAGAACAGATCTTCACGATGAATTTACCAGTTTTACATTACAGGTACAGTACAGTGGAATCTACAGTACAGGGAAATTATTCTGATTATACATAATTTCTTAACTTGACCTCATAATACAGTGTTCATGGAAGTCTTTAATCAAATAATCGGTTGTATTCTTCATCAGCAAGTAAAAATCCTACTTTCTGGGAAATTCTCTTGCAGCCAGTAGTGGAGAACAATTTATTTTCTGGAGGAAAGTACATCATTTCATCTGCTACTTTTCTGTAAAGGAACAGAAGAAAGTTGCAAATTAAAAATATAGTAATACTGTACAGTACTGTACTTATTTATTTGAAGAGGGCTTGGATTTTTTATATAAAGTAACTATACTGTACGGTGCATTCCAACTTACCCAACAGCTGTTCCTTTTTCATTCTAATTTAGCTCAGCTAAATTATCCAATTATCACTTTAAATTCTTTGCAGTAAGTTAATAATATCTTATTTTTTTGTAAGCTTACCATGCTATACTGCTGAGTAACTGGAATCATGGGCAAATGCACACCTTCACCTACTTGCATTATATACTTGGACATAATAACTGTATATTAATTTCCTCCTCCCAGATGTGCCTTCCCATTTTGTAATACTGCTGTATAGTACTGCACAGCAGACTGCCATACATTTGCTTATTGGGGATTAGGATTTTGGCTAAGTTGGTGCAGACCTTACTTACTGTACAATCCATACTAAGTTTTATTTGCCAAAAATTAGATGTACAGGTATCCCTCGTTTAATGATTGGGATGCGTTCTTGAAAACTAAATGATCACTATATGAGGGGTAATGAGGAATAATATCAATGGGGATGGAAAGTAATTGTGTAGCCAAGTCACTGACTCGCCATCCAGGAGCACTCAAAGAGAAGGTGAGGTTGACCTGTCGGCAATTTATTGTTCAACTCATAATTTTGGGTAGATATACATAATTTTCTTAATTTTCTTTTACTCTGTTACATGCATACACAATCATTCATACAGAATGTGCAAAAAAAAAAACATTAATTATCATAAGTTCAAAAAATAAAGGTAATAAACATTTCTTACGAGCTCAGTAGTTAGCCCACAGAGAGGGGAAGGGGAGAGTGGTGTGGGGGATCTCTCAGCTGTTCTGTCTCGTGTCCCGTGAAATGATTGCCAAATGGCAACGCAGTATTATTTATTATTATTATTATTATTATTTATTCCTCACATGTACTGGTACAGTATACACATGACACAGTTCTTCCGGGTAGTCATCAAGTTGACTCAAGAGATGTGCGTAACTGCTGCCTGTATGCCGTGACATCGCATACACACCCATGCTCTTCATTTTTATTATTTTATAGTACAGCACAGGAGGTACCCGACTTACGAACGAACGCCAATATGAACGTGGTAAAACTTGAAATTTGTGGCTGAAATGGGGGTGAACATCCCCCTGGATCTGCCACTGAAAACCTACTGCATATTTAAAACTTGTTTTAATATCCATGCAGCTTTTGTATACATCAACAAAATAGGGAACTACAGCCACAAAAACAGGTACACTAGTCACTGGTGGCCATGGAGGTGGGTTATTTTTGTGAGACACTTCAGCCACTAAGGAAAACAACAATGGTAATGGCCACCATGAATTTCCAATGATACTGAGTAATTCTGATGAAGTTAAGCTAACATTATCAAGGTATCTATTCACTATCTGTCTGTTTGCCTTCCTTCATCCTACATATGTGGGTGGAGCAAGGAAAACAAACATTACCAAACTTACTTGATTAAATCTTTAGTTGCTTTGTGTCCACGTCTAATTATCTCATCCCTAGCACAGAGTTCTATGTGACGTCTTTCCAGCGGCAAGAATGGTATGTAGTGGTCAACCAGACTGTGCTGTATTATCTCACTCTTATGTAGACCTCCTGCAAAATACAATTAATCAATAAGTATTTTAAAGTTTACTCCGAGTTGAAAGTAACCATGCTCTACTTAGTGCATCAAGTCACCAAGTTAAAGATCTTTCTGGCAAATGCCTTAAATAAAGCTAGGTGGGTCTCAATACTTTGATTGGTATTTCAAATATCCTCCATAAAGTAAGATAGAGCCAATTTGCTAATCCATTTGAATACTGTGTACCAATCTTCTTTCCCCATCATATCATCTCAAGAGACAGTGATGATGTGACTTGGGAGTAGTATTTCATTTAGTCTTGCAAATAGAGTAACTGTAACACACAGTACAGTACTAACCAGCAATTATCTGAATTTTTTTTTACATGTTTAAATACAAGTACCTGCAGTATCAATTCTTCACATTCACAACCTTATACAGAAAGAACATGCTTTGTATTTTTGTAGTGATACTGTGTATAAATTTTTCCTAACAGAAGGCCACCTGAACTAAGTTCAGTTCTTATCAAACCCTAAATCCTGTATAAGAACCTTGCAATGGTTGGCTAGTAACTTATTTAATGACAGAAAATACATTCTAAGAATGAAGAGCAAACACAGTAATGTACAGCAGTGCTAACCATCAATAGAAAACTTCACATATTGCATTCACTGCAATTCATTTCCAGTCTTAAAAAATTTCTTTCAAAAGTCTTAAATCTTCTACATGTTCGTAATTTTTACCTTCACAATTTTTTTTAATTTGCTTTACATTTGATTTAATCAATAACTATGGCAATGCCTTGAACCCAGCAGCTCCCCATGACCCTCAACCTGATCTGTTGATAAATAATTTGTTGAAAATCCTGTATTTAATTTAATAGATGACTGAATGGTTGCTTCTCCCTATATAAACAAATAATTGCTGCTTATTCATACCTTCTTCATTGAATGCCCCAAGCTGCGTGAGGTGCTCAAGGTCCACCATGCTAATATCCTCACGATTTTTTCCTGAACGCCACATCTTCAACATTGCTCTAGTGATATCTGGCCCTCCAGTGTTACTCAGGAAGATGAATATAGACTTCCTGAAAGATTGCAATATTAAGGTTATGAAAGACAACATAATAATAAATTTATATATGAAAGACCGGATCCTAACACTATCTCATTTTATATCAAAGTCTGGATTGGGTAATTCGTGTAACACTATGCAAGTCTATGGGTCCCTTGACTTTGGTCATCAACATCATTGTCTATGACCATTTTCCAATTGTGTGGGTTTGCTATAATTACCTGATGGTATAGTATAGCAGTTGCCCTCAGGCAAACTTGAAGCAAGTTTTGCAGTAGCTGGATGCCCTTCCTATCACCCCATTTTTACACAGCGGGAACTTGGGGACTTCCAAGCATCCGCATAACTGGCAAGGCAGGGTTGGAGCACAACCATATCCCTTATTAAAAAGGCATTGAGGCAACAGCTTCTGCTGAATGGTTTTGTCACCTCCTCACTAACAATGTCCTTCACAACTCTCGCCCATTTCATTTACAGTAGCCCCCCTAAATTAGTGGGGGTTAGGTTCTCAAAAATAGCCGCGAATCGCCAAATCCGCGAATCAAATTTGCTGGCAGGGAGGGGGGTTGTTACATTTTTTTTTACTTGCTTACAAAGAAAGGTATATTTCCTTTATGTGTTTACCAATAGGACAATTATTTCTTTTACCTGTATTGTATATATGTGTGTTTGTCTAGAAACACACACACAAAACACATACAAATAAATAATAATTGGAAAATCCTCACAAATAATCAGAATTTTTTTTAAAAAATGTGAGTCTACCCTCAAGTCTGTGCTTTATTAATAAAGTAATAAAGCACAGTCTTGGGGGTAGACTCACATTTTTTATAAATTTGTTTCTGATTGTAAATATGTATTGCATTGTATATTGTATATGTGTGTGTGTGTGTGTGTGTGTGTGTGTCTACACACACATATTTACAATACAGGTAAAGGAAATTACAGGTACTCCCTGACTTACGACGGGGTTAGGGACCGACATCCAAGGCGTAAGTCGAAATGGTCCTAAGTCGGAAATGCTTAAATAACACATAGAAAATCGAAAATTTGGGTCTCTTTTTCTTCTCAGCACCACAAAACACTCACTTTTAAGCTTGCCAGCCATTTTAAAGTGAATTACAGATGAAAATTTTGTCTGTGTACTGACTTTGGGACTCAAAAATACATAATTTCACCACATTTTGGTATTACTGAGGCGGTCGTATGTGCGGGTGGACGTAAGTCGAGTCGGTCGTAAGTCTGGGAGTACCTGTACTGTCTCTAGAATGAATGACTCCCTGTCCCAGCTGCAAAAATGCCAGCAACTTTAAAACTACCCCTAGACATTCCTGGGTACATCCAGGGTGTCATCTAGAGCAGTGATTCTCAAACTGGGGTCCGCAAAAAGTTTTTGAGAAATAGTGCGTTTAACGTTTGTGAGAGATTTGGCGATTCCAAGTCGCAAGATATTTTGGATTTGGGTTGAAATGAACAAATGCTTTGGACTATGATTTATTCTTTGATTATTGACAATATTTGTATGCGTCATGGTATATAAGGGGTCCTTGGTTGAAAAAAGTTTGAGAACCCCTGATCTAGAGAACAGCAAAATAAAAATCTGTAAATTTGGGGAGCCCCCTGTACTAATGTAATTGCTGGGCCAATTCCTCAGTTCCAACTCACCTCAATATTACCCACTGGGAGGAGGGAGAGTTAATTGAGTTCCCTGAACTAGGCTCAAATATAAATATAAAATTGCATTTCAGGATCAATCCCTCTTCTGTAGCCACATTATTTTTTGCTTACACAGTGGCTCCCATAAAAATATTCATTGTCACAAGCTCTTCCTTCAATTTTAGAAACTCAAGATAAATGGTAAGCAATTCTCCAATATTGTTTATTCTTAAAAAATAATTTACAGATACTGTACCTGAAATCCACTCCATTAATGGATTCATGATAGTCAATGAAAGGTTTAATGCCATTAATCATCCCCAAGGGCATCTTGTCAATCTCATCGAAGATAAAGAGAGACCTCTCACACCTGCTGACATTACCACGGATCCAATCTTGCAGATTCAGCTGTTTGGAACAATATATACGATTAATTCAATATTATCTTAAGGAAATACAGTACTGTATCATATTAGTCTCTCCTGTACAATGGGAAGTTTTGTATAACCAAAATAGGTATACCATTAAAAGAGGAAATGGAATAGATGAATTCAGATAATTGGAGTGTAAGTTTAACAAAGTTGAAAATGTGGTAGAGTACAGAAAGAGAATGATTGCCCCCTTCACTCTGGTGTATGGAAAAAAATAACTGGAAATCTCATTACATAGTCAAGTTAGGTCAGAAAGACATGTCTTGTACTAAATGATCCTAAATTATACGAGAATTGTGGTGGAATTGCATGAAGAAGTGTTAAAGGAATCTTGTGGGAGAGAGGGGGAGGAAGCCACCCACCCATCCTAACCCCCACCCCTCTGCCAGCTGCTCCCAGATAAACATTCATCTTCCAAATACAATATCCTCCTTCACTTATTTGTTCTTGTTTTTATTTTTATAGTGCTGTACAGTACAGTATACAGTTTTCTCTTTATTCACAAGACAAATTCTGTGGTTACTTACAAATAACGCTTTACAGTAAATAACAATCATCTTGGTGAAAACAATTGTTGACAACCAGACTTATATGTCTGATTTTCAACCCATACAGTTCTGTTTCATATTTTTTTTATTGTTTATGCAATAGACTTTTAATAACCTTGTTATTCACTTACAGACCTTAGTTGTTGAATGTTGAAGTGCATAATAACATAACTGATTTTCTTTAAACAGTTCAGATAACCAGTGTTATAAACCCCCCCCCATATATTCGCCTTTTTTCGGAATTTCGCATTTTTCAGACTGGGGTCTGCCCCAATTAGTCCAATTTATCAAGGTTCTACTGTACTGAAATGAATTTTCCACAACTTTTATAGTTTCATTAATGTAACAATGGCAACATGCATTACCATCTCTTACAGGCACAGCTGACTGGCATGTGTGTTGCTTTGAGTTGTGTATTTCATACATCCTGTACTGTACATGTGCATATGTTTCAACAGCATCATGAAAATAAAAATTATTTCTGGCAGCATTAATGATAGTTTTATTTTCTGTTTTAAGCTTTATTCTACTTTTTATGACAGCAATAAATACTGTATGTGGAGCGAACTGGCCACTGTCTCCCCACACACCCAAGCTCTTAATTTTTTATTATTTCAGAGTTTTATATTATATTTTCTTTATTTCTAAACCACATTACAGTACTGTATTGGTATATATACACATTTTTGGCTTTACAGCGCCCTCTTTGGAACGTACCCACTGCATAAGATGTGAAACGACTGTACACATTTTTTTCTCAAACTATTCAGCAGTTTTCATTCATACTTACAGGACCTTTGATTTATATGCTCTCACATGACATTTAAAAATCAGGCATTTCCATAAATAATGAGTAGCACCTCCAGGAGTAAATGGGGGACGAACCAATTTAAACCCTTGACAATGATAGCCAGCAGAGGGGCATTTGCCTCTCACTACTTTGTTCTGGATTTGATACTTGGGTTGGATGTGGGAAGAATGTTATCCAGAATAGCCCTAACATATTACAGGTTTTCTCCAAGCACTCCTGTTGCCCCATGTATTAACACTGAACCATTAAGGACAATCTCCTCGGGCACAATGAGAAGATTAAACAAACCATTGGCTTCCTTCCTGACATAAAAAAAACTTGAAATCCCATTTAATAACCGAACTTGGGTTGAGTAATCATGTATAGCCATTAATCTGTGGAACTGAATTCCCACGTGCCAGGTCCCTGACTTGTGGCATCATGATTAAATAAATTAATAAATTAAAGTCCGATTCTTCACCTTCATACTGGACTCCTGAAAGAAACCTTGGTATGAATTTTTCCTAAAAAGATAGAAAGGTGAAGTGCTTTGCTACCGAGCATAAACACATACAGTACATTCTGACCAACCTTTGTCATTGACACTGGTTATAAAACTCCAAAACAAGAATAAATGTCTTGATCCAGTTCACCTCAGCACCCCAAAGAGAGAAGGGAGAGTTGTCAAGTTTCTCAAGCCTGAATCAGTTAAAATATGGGATTTTAGAAACCATATCTTCCTTTGTTCTTATTTCATAACTTCTAAGAATATCTGCATTTGCATGTTTTTTTTTTTTGCATATAAGTCTTCCAGGTTTGTGTTTCAATGCAAACTTACCTTATAAATGTCAACCTTTCCCTCATGAGGGAAGTCAACGGTGCTGACAAAGACATGAACATACTGACTCTTCGTCCCAAGCTTGTACATATTCTCAGCAATGAACTTGGAAACATAATTCTTTCCTCCTCCTGTCCAACCATGGAAGCTCATTACTAGGGCCTGTACATAGGAGATAAAAATATTTCTACTAGAGATGTACCGATGTATCAGTATCAGTGGTATCGGTCTGTTTTTAGGAGTACCGATATCGGTGGAATTTTGGCCGTTACATTATGTAAATAAATATTCCTGGTAAAAGGCGGTCACAATGGACTGAGGTTTCCAGCAGAGCCATAGATGAAGAGAGTTCGGTCAACTCGGTGACATGCGAGCAACATGTTGTTACTCAGCCGATGAAGAAGTTTGCGCTCGTACTGAATAAGACCATGATGTTGATGATTTTTATTCAGTAAAATTGTTATTCATATTTACACTTGGATAAGAATGTATATAAACTATGTGGGAGACAGCCAGAGAAGACTTCCCACCTGCTGAGTAACAACATGGTGCCTGGTTGGCTAAACTCTCTATCTATGGCTCTGGTTACCAGACTACAAGTTAGAGGAACCTTCTTTAGGGCAATCCCACATTCTTCTAAAATAAATAAATAATAATAGGTGTTCTATTACAATTCCAACATGTAAGGGTTTTGTTGCACACTTTTGTAACTGATAGTGTTAAACACACTTTACAAATATTTAAGTACAATGTACTGAAAATTAAATTACTGTACTGTACTGTACATTGGACCCACGCTTTATGTGCATTTTCACTATACGTACAGGTATGTGAATTCGCGTTTATGCAGCGACCCTATTTCACCCATAATTCATTTTATGCAGAAAAGATTCCCTATTATGCTTTCTGTAGAAGATATGGCTCACTACTTTTATATTACTGTACTGTATATTATCTTTATTTCTAAACTACACTGGAGAATTTTGTTATGATTTTTCTGCAAGTTTTATAGCATTAATGCTCCAGAAATGGTTGTGAAACATGGCATTGTGTGTGTGTGTGTGTGTGTGTGTGTGTGTGTGTGTGTGTGTACACTATGCTGTATGTGACATCATGGGACGTGGCTGGAGTGGTGAGTCAGCCACTCCACACACTTTCACTTTCCACACAAACACTCATGCTCTTCATATGTCTTAGTTTATAGTTTTATAGAATATTATATTATCTTTATTTATGACCCACACAAGAGTATTGTAATGATTTTTACAAAACTTTTATAGCATTGCTGTTGACTTTTAGTAGTAGTGGTACATATCCTAATTTTCCCCATAAGCATAGCATAAAGCGAGGGTCAAGTATACATATTTATCATATACTTATAGTGCATCAAATTAAATGTTTTATTGTTACAGCAATACTGTGTGACAGCCGACACAGGACTGTACACACTGTTGGCAGATGTATGAGTGTTCCCAGCAACACCTCCATAAACCGAGATCCCGTTGACCAATACTTCACATAATCAACGATTATTAGTATAGTTTATATTTTCATCCAAACTCCATTCCTTACCTTGCTAGGATTGTCATTCTGTAGATGAGCCTTGAGTGCCCTTGAGACAACGTGTCGCACTAAATGTTGCCCGTGAAGCTGTGCCTCTAGGGCTATATTCAGAGCTGAAAACAATAATTCCAGTAAACAATCAGCAAAAAAAATTTAAGTGTCACATTCCAAACTGCCCTGTAACCTGTAACCTTTGTGTGTCTGTGTCTACACACACACACACACACACACACAAAACACATACAAATAAATAATAATTGGAAAATCCTCTCACAAACACAGTTGTACCCCACTTAACGCGGTCAATAGAACCCAGAGGGTCCCGTGTTAAGTGAAATCCGCGTTAAGTGAACAACAGAACATATGGGATTAATTCCAATAGAAACCAGCCCGACCCCCAAACTCCACTTTATGAAGACACATAACTATGTTGTAGTAAAAATAACATCTTAATTTTATGATGGTACATGCACACAATTAATACTTAAGAGAAATAGAGAAATACAGTCGCCAAGTTAATGTCCATTCAAATAATGGACTCAACTCCCTCCCCCTCTTCTCACACTACACTGCTGGCTCTTCCCTCTCTGAGAAATTTTTGGGGGAAAACCACTAAATTTTAATAAATAATACCTCAAACTAAAGTTAGGATAATACAATTGACATTGCTGGATTCCTTGTAAGACCAGGAATATTTTGAATATAAATGTCATATATTTTGCACAAAAGATAACATATTTACTAGAGAAAACATTTTATCTAAAATTTGTATGTCTAATGCAAAATATATGATGTTTATATTCAAAATGATCACCAAATTATAAGAATTCCAGCAATGTAAATTATATTCTGACCGGGTAATTTGTATGAATTTTATGAGCTAAAACAAATATCTTCAGTTAATAAAAAAAAAAATATATTCTTCACGGGGTAACAGATGGTCGGTCGGTCCCTCCCTCCCCCCCCCCCCACCAACCGTCCCAAGGAGATGTGTGGGAAAACCACTAAATTTTAATAAATAATACCTCAAACTAAAGTTAGGATAATATAATTGACATTGCTGGATTCCTTGTAAGACCAGGAATATTTTGAATATAAATGTCATATATTTTGCACAAAAGATAACATATTTACTAGAGAAAACATTTTATCTAAAATTTGTATGTCTAATGCAAAATCTATGATGTTTATATTCAAAATGATCACCAAATTATAAGAATTCCAGCAATGTAAATTATATTCTGGCCGGGTAATTTGTATGAATTTTATGAGCTAAAACAGGCAGTCAGGCAGGGTGGCTGGTGGCGGGTGGGGCAAATCTAAAAATAGCGTCTCGAGCCGGACACTCACCGCGTATATGTGGAAAAAATCCGTGTTAAGTGAAAGTTCAGCTCTGGCGAGGCACCGCGTATATGATAAAACGCGTTAAGTGAAACCGCGTTAGGCGGGGTAATACTGTAATCAGAAACAAATTTATTAAAAATGTGAGTCAACCCTCAAGTCCGTGCTCTATTACAGTACTCTATTAATAGAGCACCAACTTGAGGCAGACTCACATTTTTATTAAATTTGTTTCTGATTATTTGTGAGAGGATTTTCCAATTATTATTTATTTGTATGTGTTTTGTGTGTGTGTCTCTATACACACATACATACCGTATATACTCGTGTATAGTTTGAGTTTTTAAGACCAAATTTTTAGGTAAAAAATTGGGGGTCGTCCTATACATGCGTAATAGTTTTGTCAGGTTGAACCCGTGCATGATGGGAAGGGCGAGGAGCAACTTTTAGCTTCAGACATGAAAAATATTTACCATTTACTGCCAGTAAACAATGGAAACGTAAAATATGTACCAATTAGTAATGAAAAGTTGTGCAGTTCCTTCAGTAAATGAAGCTCACCAACTTACAATAGCCTAAATTACCTTACAACGTGCTTTCAGTAGTCTATGTTGAAGTTTTTAGCACAGGCTAACTTGTCATATACAGTAGAAGTCCAAAAATCCGGACCGCTTGGGGATTGGGTCGGTCCGGATTTTCGGATTTTCCGGATTCTCAGGCAGTACTTTTAAAATTCAAATTTCAGGAGAAATAAAGAAGAGATGAACAGGTATATTTTGATAGTTTATTCATTAGCAAATATAGCATGCTTCATTTATCTAAATGAGCAGTTTTAAAGAAAAAGCTGTGAATTCTAAAATTTTATTCTTTGCCTTTTTTATATCATAAATTGTAGACTTTCCAATGTCATATGTTTCCATTAGAACAGTATTGCTCACACCACGTTCTAGTTTCTTAATTATTTCAAGTTTGTCACTCAATTTCAACGTGTTCTTCTTTCTCTTCACACAACGAAGTTTATCTACTTTAGGAGCCATTATTATGGGCTTGTACAGTACTCTGTAAATGGAAAGAGTAGGACTCAAAATTTCATACGTTGTCACAGTTTGATTGCTTGTTTTAAAGTGGCGACTGCGTGGTCGCTGTGCAGCTGTGGCACTCACACATGCACAAATACGCACAATAGCCAGCTAAATTAAAAAAAAAAAAAAATTAAGTTTGAGTTTTCGAAAAGTCCGGATTCTCGGGTGGTCCAGATTTCTGGCATCCGGGTTTTTGGACTTTTACTGTATACGGTATCACAGTTCTCATTGATCTACAAAAAATACCGGTAATAAAAACCTTTTCGATATTTCACACTTAATATAATACCCGGTAATCTACTTCAACCTCCTATTGTTTACAACGACGCATCACGCACCACCAGCTGTATCATCTAGACGGTACACGTGTTTTTCGAATCGTTTTCAGTTAAAAAACTGTTACATCACAATGTAAAATAGGATAAAATACATGACAAAAACAAAAGACTTTACCTAAGCTTCTGTTCTTGACATGTTACTCGTTTTTTTAATAGTTTTCGGTTAAAATTCTGTTATATTACAATGATATTCTATTCATACTGTGCTTGATATAATACATTCACGGAAATGTAATATTTTTGCTGAAATTACGTACGTATTACAGTGGAAAGTGGGATAAAATTGTGACGAAAACAATGACTTTCGCTTTCTTTCGTTCCAAAGATGTTACCGTAATCTCTTTTCGAATGGTTTTCAGTTAAAAACTGTTGTACAGTGAGTTCTGCTGTAACGCGTGTTTTGATAACGCGAATTTGCTCTAACGCGATTTATGAATTAGGAACGATATTTGTATAACTCGAACGCTTGTTTGATATAACGCGATTTTTGCTTACTATTTCTCCAATTTTGTGGTACAGTGGGGTATGCTATAACGAATCTAATTGGTTCTAGAACCTTGTTCGTTATAGCATTCGTTCGTTATAGGATTAATCCGTTCCAGGCCCCCAAATACAACCACTTAACACTGAAAAATATAATATAAAATTGTAAAAATTGTAAAAAAGTGCATAAATATGCATCTAAACCCCTGAAATAAAGAATATCATTAATATTTGTAATAAAAAAACAATAAATTAGAAAAAGAAAAATTAAATAATGTTCGTTGTAGGAGTTTCGTTCGTTATAGCATTCTCAATTTTATAGGTAAAACCGTTCGTTATAGGAATATTCGTAGTAGGATCCGTTCGTTATAGCATACCCCACGTATTAACTGTGAATATAGCAAAGAAGAATATCAACAAGAAGCGTTCTGGTGATAGAATTCCCGGTGATGATCGTAAAAGAAAGGATATAACACTTGAAGAGAAGCTCGATTTTATCAACCTCAAAATCACCCTTCTCCCCCAACAAGTAAAGTGTTACATTTACTGTATGATTTCATTATTAGATATGAATGTAACATTTATTTAGACTGTGCTATCCTTTGTGTTAGGCTAACTACTAAATTTTTTCGATTTCGAGTAATCTGCACCTAACCCCATTTTCTCCATAAGCCCTGTTATTTCTATTACGCGATTTTCTATAACACGATATTTTACAAGAACACAATTATCGCGTTATAGCAGAACTACCTGTATTACGATAATATTCTATCCTAATTGACTTGAATAAATACTACGATACCATATTTCTGAATATTTTCATTAAAATCCATCAAAATCATTTTCCTTGTCATCGTCTGCAGCACCAAACAGCTTCTCCCAGTCCTCTCCTTGAACAGGGCTAGAGGGTACGTGTTTTTCGAATCGTTTTCAGTTAAAAAACTATTACATCACACGTATATTTTACCTAAACTGCGCCTGAATGAATATATTCTCGGAAATAAAAGTAGTTTTGCTGAAACGTGATGTATTTCAATGTAAAATAGGATAAAATACATGACGAAAACAAAAGACTTTACCTAAGCTTCTGTTCTTGAGATGTTACTCGTTTTTTTAATAGTTTTCGGTTAAAATTCTGTTATATTACAATGATATTCTATTCATACTGTGCTTGATATAATACATTCACGGAAATGTAATATTTTTGCTGAAATTACGTACGTATTAAAGTGGAAAGTGGGATAAAATCGTGACGAAAACAATGACTTTCGCTTTCTTTCGTTCAAAAGATGTTGTACCGTAATCGCTTTTCGAATGGTTTAGTTAAAAAACTGTTGTATTACAATAATATTCTATCCTAATTGACTTGAATAAATACTTGAATGGAAATATACAATATTTTTGTTGAAACTACCCGCGTTTCAGTGTAAAGTGTCGTAATAATAAATGGTAAACAATTTGCCTTCGGCACTCGTGTTTCATGCACGGCGAGCCTCAGTTTATAGGACGTAGAGCGTTTTTAGTGAAGGTTTTGTTGTTCCATTACCCTCAAAAACGTGGGTCGAACTATAAACGAGGAATATCGTAAATTAACGATTTCTTGGTCAAAAAATCAGGGTCGACCTATAAACGAGGGGGGTTATAGACGAGTATATACGGTATTTACAATACAGGTAAAGGAAATTACTGTCTCTAGAACGAATGGCTCCCTGTCCCAGCCGTGAAAATGACGTCAACTTTAAAACTACCAATAGACATTCTTGGGTACATCCAGGGTGTCATCCACGAATAACCAAGAACCGCGAAGTAAAAATCCGCAACTTGGGAGGCCCCAGTACAATGTGAAGTTACTGATGTCCTCTCACAGTA